GTCGTTTGTTTTTTCTCGTCATCCACAATTATATAGTTTTTTATTTTTAAAGGAAATATTTTGGTTTTGATTTAATTTTTAGTTTGCATTTATTCCCTCAAAGATATGAGGCATATTGTTATTCTCAATATTCTCCAATATATTTCGAAGAATACTTTTTCCCATTTATGTTATATTTTGTTAATACCCTGCTATGATGCTGTAGAAAAAAGTTTCCATGTGTTACAGATACGCTGAAACTGTTACCATATGCGTCGTCGTAGTAGGCATACCAACTGAAATGTCAAAAAAGTCCCTTTTGAACGTCCCAAACTATGTATTACTACACGTTATTTGCCTTACTAGTAAACATAACTATCGATATTTGTACTACATGCACAACTCTTGTCTATTATATATATTAAATAACTAATGTTTGTCTATATAATATTGGTCTTATCTACTTTAAGTCATAAATAAAGTAACAATAAATAATTACTGGAATTACTCCGTAAACGCCTATATAAGTGCAGCAGTTTTCTAACATTAGAATGGAATAGAAAGGAGCGTTCAACTCATCTTATTACCACAAGTTCTGAAGTGCTTTATCAAGTTAAACTTATATTTGTATTTAGTATTGTAAATGTGTATATGTATTACATGACCATTTGATGAGTTTAAAATTTTAAAATTTTTTCACACTACAGTAAATAATTCATAAGTGCGATGAATAAAAATAGCTTTTAAATAACGTTCTGGTGTTACACCTCGAGTTAATACGAATTATATTACAACTGACAGCTATCCGTCAAATTCATACAAGACGTATTGTGAATATAAAGCAAGCCTATATGACAAGAGAAGCTTGTACGACACTTATGTGTGTGAGTGTGTATATTAGCGTTAAAGTGAATGTTTCATAAAATGCTGTTATAAAATACGGCCAGTCTCGTTCTAAGAATGCATGTATGTATGAATGAATTAATCGTATTGTACGTATGAATGAATAGTTACTTGCTCATTAATTGTTTGATTCTAATAATGTACACTAATTTAAAATTTGTAATTCACACATTACTTTATTATATTCAAAATTGATTATAAAATCCCCCGATGGATAAATTTCAAAATTTGTAAACTTACTGTCACAAATTAAATTGTATTCGACGTTTTTATATTGTTGGTGCGAGCTTTCATCATCACTGACCCAAAAACTCAATTGCACATGTCAGAAAAATGTGATTAGAACTGTTGTATTGTTATTTTCTAATATATTAAATCATGAGATGTAATATTATCATACAATCCTACCGTTTTGCTGTCCACGCAGTCTATTAAAACATTGCACATTGGTCGACCTAATTCAATTAAAGGCCTCTTTTACTCGCTCTGATGCTGTAAGAACGCACCATCAAGAGGAAAAATCACTCTTCTTATGTCTGTCACGTGTCCTCTAAAGTTTTAGTGAACTCTTGACTCTGGCGGCTCATGAGTACCTTGTACACGTAAGGCATAACGTGTTGGCTGAGGCAATTTGAGTGCGTATCGAGAACATCAATAGTATCGGACTACGCTTAGGAGCGAGGTACAGCAAAGGAGGCCCACTGAAAGTGGCTTTAGCGATAGCAGAGAAACCAGAAATCACAACATCCTACTGGCCACGAACTCAGTTGTGAAGTTTAAGAAAACACTGAAGGTTACCGCACTGAGTATTAGGAAACTCCAAAGCAGCAGTAACAACAATCAGTGATAGATGTAAGTTATTCATCAGCAATGAAATTCACGCCAAACCTTGTTAAAGTGACCCAAGTACATTGTATTCAAAAAAACGAATTATTATTAAATTCCTTGTGTAAAAAAATATATTAGTTAAAATCACCCATATTATTTAAATAAAGATTATTTATTGATTAAACTGAACGAATAAAGCTCACAAACTAAATCCTAAGAGACCCACAAATGACACTTAAATAAACCACTTAAGACCATACTCTAAACATGTCCAGTGATAACACTGGTAAGTAACTTTAATGAATAATCATGACAACTCAATAGATGATAAGTAAGAAAAATCAAATAATAAGAAACAAAAATAATTACATTTTAGACTTAAAATAAAATCTTACAACTATTTTTTATTAGTAGTTAATACTAGCTTTAATAACGTCAATTGTTCAAAGAAACTAACTAATAAATAGTAATATAAATTATAACTGAAAGCTATACAGCTTGCAATATAAATTCAAAAATAAAATAATTTAACAACAAAAAAAATTTCTACACAATAAGGATGTTTTTTAAAAATGATTAATTGGCCGTTTATTAATAAAGGGCAAAAGATTTTTTGTTAAGCTTGTACAAATGAAAAAAAAGTCACTAAAACTTAAACAAACGTAAATACGGTTGAGGTCTTAAATACAGACTTTGTTATTTGCTACGGTTATAGTTTTCAATTTTCAGTCTTTTTTGTTATAAAATAACATGTTTTATTTTTGCAATTAGTTGCGAGGTTTATGCACTGATGCAGTTAGCTTTCGTTTATTCTTTGTTATTCATGCATCTTTAGACATTCATTCTAAACTACAATAAATGTTCGAGGCGTATGCGTTAGCACACACTAGGCTCGGATAAGGTGATTGGGAAGACACAATAAAACACAATGAAATTAATTACCATAAAATAACAACTTTTAATGTCACTCAAAGGCCAAGAAAAATCACAGTTAATATTTACAAAAATAGTAAAGATTAAAATAATACAGAAGAAAAAAAGAAATGATGTCTATAGTCTTAAAGCAATGAACTATTGAAATATATAAAGGCAAAGAATGTAGAAAAAAAAGAGTCAAGTTTAATAACACAATATGTAAATACGCACTAGCCTTGAGCTCGCAGAAGAGTTTGAAAGCTACACGAATAAATGTGAAAATGAAAGCACTAATATAATATAACTGATTGAAATCTTGATTTACTAAAAACGACTGTCTGTAGAAATACACAAGAGTTTCACTGAGTCTTGTTGTTGATAATCACTGGTAGTTCGATGAGATTAACTATTTGAGCTGGTCTGCAGATTATGCAGTGAGCAACTTAAACAAAGCACTAAGTGCACTGCACTGCACAACTGAGTTTTGTCCACTGTATTGAGAGAGTTAATCAGAAGATTTACACTAGAAGTTAAGGTGATGTATGCACCTTAAATGCTAGAGTTTGGCAACGTTAATTAAGAGAGTCTATTCTCGACGAGAGCTGAGTATAATCTGGCACTTACAGTATACAAAGCTCGCCGTGTGAATACGCACACACACACCTGCAGCGCACCAAGTCGACGTAGCGCACCAAGTTGACCATGCGCACACGCACAGAACGTTGAGCCGACAGAGACTACAAGTGTACACAATGTACACAAAAGCCGAACCTACTGTCGGTTGCTCTCATTTCTAACATTCCGCCCGCCGTCAGTCAACGGCTGATAACAGCCGTAGACCGGCAGTGGCACCAACTTGTGAATTGGTCTCCTGAGTGCGCCCACGGAGGTCTTGAGAGTCACCACTCTAACCAGGCCATCCTTGCCTGGGTGGACGTCGACGACTCTGGCCAGCGGCCACTTTCTTGGTGGTAGAGTTTCACTAGTTATAAGCACCGATGAGCCTGTCTTGATGTCATGAGCTGCAGTATGCCACTTGGAGATTGAGTTTATTCTAAGAAATACTGTGTAGACCACTACTTCCAAAACCTTCGTTTTTTAGCTTGGATCAGCTGCAAGCGAGTGAGCCTTGCTGGAGGTAAATCCAACAAGCACGGCTCTGGTGGTAAGTTTAGCGCCTATCTGACTAAGAAGTGTCCTGGAGTAAGTGGGTCTAAATCCTCTGGATCATTGGTAAGTGGTTCTAGTGGTGTAGAGTTAAGTATTGCTTCGATTTGAGTGAGCAACGTCGTGATCTCTTCAAGCGTGTAAAGAGTCTCTCCCATAGTCCGATGGAGATGGTGTTTCATCGACTTCACTACTGCCTCTCATTTTCCTCCCATGTGAGGAGCAGCTGGAGGGTTAAAGTGCTATGACGTTCCATCTTGGGTGAGCATGGCTGATAGATGAGAATTGAGACTGATTGCTTCTGAGCATAACTGTTGAAGAGCCCCATCTGCACCATCGAAGATCGTTCCACAATCAGAATACAACTTAAATGGACGTCCCCGACGTGAGACAAATCGCGAATACCCTGACAAGAATCCTTCGGTAGAGTAATCTGTCACTGCTTCAAGATGCACATCAGAGGTCGACACACGAATACACACATCCAACCCTTGTATGTCTTCGACCCTCTGCCGCTCCAAGATTTGAGATGTATTGGACCTGCGTAGTCAATACCTGTGTGAGCAAATGGTCTGGAGGGAGTCACCCTGGCCTCGGGTAACTGTCCCATAAGTTGTTGTGCTCTTTGTGCCCGGTACCTGGCATATTTGACACAGTAGAGGATTCTGGATCGGATGGGGGCTCTTCCACCGATTATCCGAAACTCTTGACGAGTTTTGCTAAGAGTCAGCTGAGTTCCTCTGTGTAGAGTTTGCCGATGAGCCTGATTGATAACCAAACTGGTGAATTGAGCTTGACGAGGAAGTAGGGCAGGATTTTTTGCATCAGGTCTGAGCTTGGCATTCATGAGTCTGCCTCCCACACGCAGTATGCCAGCATCATTAGTATATGCCATCAACCGGTGGAAAACATGGCCCCTTGGGAGAGAACCTGATTTGAGCATCTTGATTCCCTCCTTGAAACATTTCTGTTGATTTAATCTGATGAGTAAGAGCTTAGCTTGAGTGATGACTTCTGCAGTGACAGCTTTGGATGGTTTCTGGTGTGAGTAAGGCTTTGAACTTGGCACAAGCAAGTAAGAGGGTGGCTGTGATACGATAGAGTTTGTGCAATGTGGAGCTGGACTGAGTGAGCCTGAGTAGGAACTCCGAGTCCGAGACTGATGACACCCATGCTGACGCGCCTCTGTCTTATCCTCCACCTCGACGTTACTCGGCTGCAGAGGCCCAACTATTCTGGGGCTGTATCATCCACTTTGGTCCATACCACCAGAGCCTATGCTCAATCAACTGTAAAGTGAGAATCCCTCTAGAGGCACAGTCAGCAGGATTCTCCTTTTCAGGGACATGTCTCCAATGTGCTGCAGGGACCAGATCCTGAATTGCTGCAACTCGATTTCTGACGTAGTCCTTCCACTTATTTGGATGAGAAGGGATCCAATAGAGTGTGACTAACGAATCTGTCCATAATTGAATGTTGCTGATATTAAGTGTGAGTTGGTCGGTGACATACTAAGTGAGTTTAGCCAGAAAGCTGCTGTCAACTCCAACCTTGGTATTGACATTCTCTTCAGTGGTGATACTTTCGTCTTGGAGCAGACGTATGAGCTTGACGTGGATGAGTCTGACTTCATCACCAGGTAAATCACAGCACCCATAGCATCCTGAGACGCATCAGCAAAGCCATGGAGTTCCACTGCAGAAGAAAGATGTGCTCCAAGCCATCTAGGAACCGTCACTCCAGAGAGTTTGGCTAGATCATCTCGTATTTGTAGCCACCTCTGAGCGAGAGCATCTGTTATGGGTGTATTCCATGTAATTTTGGGTAGCCACAATTCCTGAATGATGAGTTTGGCTGCAACAATCACTGGAGCAACTATTCCAGGAGGATTGAAGATTTGAGATGTTTCTGAAAGAATTATTCTCTTGGTTGGAGTTTGACTGAGAGGCTTAAGGTGCACTGAAAGGTGAGATTGTCTGGAAGTGGTTTCCAAACCATTCCTAGTACTTTAGCATCGCAGTCATCGAGAAAAAGTGCTGATTCTTCACTGGAGTTTGAGTAACTGAATCCTGGCGAGTTTAAGTGCCACTTAGCCAGGGACAATCCGCCTGCCATGCACAGCTCCTTGAGTTGGAGGGCCTGCTCGTTCAACTCATCTGGAGTCTCCGCTCCACCAAAAATGTCGTCCACATATCTGCCGCTGGTGAGAATCCGGGCCGCCTTGGAGTAACGGTGTCCTTCATCCTTCACCAGCTGCAGTAGGGAGCGTGTGGCCAGAAATGGAGCAAGCCTCGTCCCGTAGGTCACTGTGGTGAGCTGGAAGTGAGCTTCCTCGTGAGTTTTGCTATGCCAGATAATTCGCTGAAGATCCCAATCGTCTGGATAAACCTTGATCTGATGATACATCTTGGAGATGTCCACAGAGAAAGTCCATTTGAATGTGCGTAACCAGAAGAGTATATCTGTTATGATGGGCAGTAGATTAGGTCCCGTGTGAGTTATGCTTTTGAGTGAATGTCCAGAGGAAATAAGGGCTGATCCATTGAAAACCACCCTGATTATGGCATTGTCTCCATCTTCCTTTAATACGCCGTGATGATGCACATAAAAATAAAGCTTGATGTTGAGCTCATCTGCAGGCACTGGTCGCATATGGCCAAGACTCAAATATTGATTCATGAAATCTGTATAGAGCTTGTCCGACTTATCGTCTGTTTTGAGCCTGGCCACCGTGCGATCGAAGTATTTACGAGCACGGTTGACTGAATTGCCCAGCAGAGATGGAGATTGCTTCAGAGAAAGTTTGACCACGTATCTTCCGGTGCTATCCTGAGAGTGAGTTCGCACAAAGTGTTCCTCACACTCTTGTTCCTCTGGTGTAAGCTGCGAGCTTGACTTTGAAGGGACCTCTTTTTGAATCCAGAAGTTGATGAGTAATTTCTGAAGTTTATTTTCTATTTTTAAAACGACATGGTGAGTGTGACTATGATTCTTTGTAAGAGGGTGGTTAACGCAACCCGATGAAATCCAACCAAACAGTGTACGTTGAGCGATAGGTTCTGATAAAGAACCTCTGAGCAAATCTGAGGTGATTATAGCTGAATAGTAGTCAGTGCCAAGTAGCAAGCTTATGTCTCGTGGCAGATAGAAATGGGGGTCAGCTAACTCCAGAATCTCCGTATGCAGCCACGATCTTGTCTTACATTGAAAAGATGGTAGTGGAGCTGTTATTCTAGGCGAGATGTGTAGCACCACATCGACGCTGGAGTCAGAATATAATGAAAACAATCTGAGTTCTACTTTACCAAGTGCTTTACTGACTACGTTGCCTCCAATGCCCAGGATTCAGATGTTAGACTTCGTGCGCGTCAGCTGCAGACGCTTCACAGCATCTTCCAAAATATATGATAATTCTGAACCTTGATCGATGAGAAGCCTGAGATGATGATGTGCAGCTGGAGCACGTACCTGGGCTACTGCTGTTGGCAACAAGATAGATGAGTGACTAGATGTTTGGTTGGATGATGTGATCCTTGTTCAGTTTGACTTGATGTTGACTCTGGGATGAGTATCACTAGATGTGGAGTTTTGACGATGAATGTGTCTGATGACCGCGCTGATTTCCTATTCTTGATGTTGAGTTGGCTGAGACGCCAACCTGCTGATCGGTTGCAACACCCGAGCGCCGTGAATCATGGTACGGTGAGCCTTACCACAGGTTTGGCATCTCTTCGTGTTCATACACTTAGCAGCAGCATGGCGGCCCAAACAGTTGAAGCACAAAGGCTTTTCATCCACGAACTGGTATCGTTGGTCAATGGAGAGGGCTGCGAATGCCGGACAGCGAGCAATAAAGTGTTGCTGGTTGCAGTACGTGCACGGAAGCACTGGAGTAGCCGGTCTGTCATCCTGCGACCGAGCCGAATTCCCAACCCGATTCTGCTGTGCGTTGCTGCCTGGTTGAGTGTTGCCGAGCGGTTGAGTTTGACCTGTATGAGCGTGCTGAGCTTTGCTCGGTTTGGATCGAGTCTTACTAGATGTGGGTGAGTTATCTTGTCTCTTGGTTGACTGAGCATCAATCATCTCCAAGGCTTGGGCCTGCTCGATCAAAAACTTCTCTAAGGCTTGGCACGCCAGGAAGTCGGCTCTTGCAGATGTCGATGTTCCCCACGCCTCTTTGGTGGGTCGATCCAACGCTTGGAGCAGCTCATCCACGAATAAGGCATCCAGCACCTCTTGAGCAGAGCCAAGGCCAGAAATAAGCCTGTGGAGTTTTCGACTCTCCGTTGATAAATCCATCAGCGACCCAACGCTGCCAATACGCATCGGTGGAATGCGTCTCTTGGCCTGCAGCAGCTGTGCGAGCACAAATCGCTTATTTTCATATCTCTTGAACAGAGCATCCCAAGCGAGTTTAAAGGATTCAGCAGCGAGAGGGAGTCCCTCGATGAGCTTCACTGGCTAGCCTGAGAGCGACGCTTGCAGGTAGTAAAGGCGCTTCAAATCGGTGAGCCTCTCGTCTTCAGTAATACTTGAGAAAAGATCTCGGAAACTCACCCATTCTGTGTAGTTGCCAGAGAATTGCGGAAGCTTAATCTCCAGGAGCTTGCCTCGTTGAGTGTGACTGACAGTAGTTGCTGCCGCTGATGAGTTTGTCTGTGGATCCGAATGAGCAGCGAGCAGCCGGGTTATGGATCTCATTGACCTCGAGTATGCCTGCTGCGCGGCTCCCAACGCACTCTGACTGAAATACTCATTTCTAAGCAACACCGCCGGGCACTCATTTTCAATGAGAGCATGCTCACGCTTAAACTTCTCATGGAGCGTGACGCAGTCCTCTCTTAGCTGCATGGCCTCAGCGCGACTGCACTCCGCAGTCGCTTCCTCAGCAGCTTTGCCGAACTGGCTCAGGCCAACTATGCGCAATCTCTGTGACTCGATTTTTGTGAGGAACCCAGCCGGAATCACATTTCCCGTCGAGTGCGTGCCGTGCCCCGGCTAACCGTCAGTCACAGAAACCCGCTGGCAATCGATGATGGTAGTTGCAGTGACATCGTCACTCGCAGCCGTGGCCACTGCATCGGCCCTTCAAGCATCCTCTCCCATCGTGCACTGCCACCGGATCACTCCCCAATTACACCTATCCGGCTCGAAGAACTACAAATGTTTGAGGCGTATGCGTCAGCACACACTAAGCTCGGATAGGGTGATTGGGAAGACACAATAAAACACAATAAAATTAATCAGCATAAAATAACAACTTTTAATGTCACTCAAAGGCCAAGAAAAATCACAGTAAATATTTACAAAAATAGTAAAGGTCAAAATAATACAGGAGAAAAGAAATAATGTCTATAGTCTTAAAGCAATAAACTATTGAAATATATAAAGGTCAAGAATGTAGAAACAAAAGAGTCAAGTCGAATAACACAATATGTAAATACTCACTGGCCTTGAGCTCGCAAGAAAGTTTGAAAGTTACACGAATAAATGTGAAAATGAAAGCACTGATATAATATAACTGATTAAAATCTTGATTAACTAAAAACGACTGTCTGTAGAAATACACAAGAGTTTCACTGAGTCTTGTTGTTGATAATCACTGGTAGTTCGATGAGATTAACTATTTGAGCTGGTCTGCATATTATGCAGTAAGCAACTTAAACAAAGCACTAAGTGCACTGCACTGCACAACTGAGTGTTGTCCACTGTCTTGAGAGAGTTAATCAGAAGATTTACACTAGAAGTTAAGGTGATGTATGCACTTTGAATGCTTGAGTTTGGCAACGTAAATTAAGAGAGTCTATCCTCGACGAGAGCTGAGTATAATCTGACGCTGACCGTATACAAAGCTCGCCGCACACACACCTGCAGCGTGCCAAGTCGACCAAGCGCACACGCACACAGCTTTGAGCCGACAGAGACTACAAGTGTACACAATGTACACAAAAGCTGGGCCTACTGTCGGTTGCTCTTATTTCCAACAATAAATATCTATTTTTTAACGAGTTTATTAGTACTATTATACTATTCCTATTTTCTTGAGACGTTGCTTTTAACTAAGTATAACTAAGATAATGCTTAACTATTTTTTAAGTTCATCACTTTAAATTTACAGCAATAAATATTTTTGCAACGCAATTTGGAGATTTAGTATTACAAATTAAGTAAGCAAGTTAAATAGAAAAAAAAAATTGATCATACAGCGCAACTTAGATTAAAAAAATTCAAAAAACACTTTTACTATAAAACTGTTATTATCTCTGGCCAACACGTTTAAACAAGATTCAGAACTTAGTTTATTTTTTCACTATTAAGAAAACAAAACGAACAACAGACTTCATAGCATATTTTTTTATTGTTACGTTTTTAAGGAGTAACATATTAATCAACACTTTCTTATTTGTCATTACAATTACACTGTTTGTAATTTGAATGCTTTTGGCTAGCCAAGATCTTCATACTCAACTTAACTCTATTTAGTGCTACTTTTTGTTTATTATTTTTATTAATTGATAAAGTTGTCCTCTTATCGTGTTCACTGTTTGTGTCTTTAAAAGAAAACAAAAAAAGTTGTTACAATCGCGTATTCGAAAATTTGTCAATATTGCAATGCTGGAGGGTGGGTATTTTTGCTAAGTAAAGAGCTTCTTATGACAGAAAAGTTTTCTAATGCATCTTAATTTTATTTACCAGCCAGTTAAAAGCTTCGACCTTGTGCTTCTAGCTCTGGACATGGTAATAATAAAATTTTTGTAGTTAGTATTAGATTTACAGAACAGTAAAAGACCTTAAAAGATCTGCCAGTAAACATTGCAATTTTAGCAATGTAAGGAAGAGCAACACGCAAAGCCTTCTCGATTTAAATCTGTAACTAAATGAATCTTGTAACTCTTTCATAATTCACCCTGTTAACTAAAATGGATACCTAAATAACTGCACTTAAGAATAATACAGCTGATACTTTTTTTTTAATTGAAAAATTTTGCTGAAAAAAATTTAACATTTTAAAAGGGCATCCTACACTCGAATGGATTGGCTATATAAATACGAAATTATTTTACAACAGTTTGTAATGTTTACGTTGGTTTACGGAAATAAACAGAAACACTTAAGAGTAATGTTTATATGAGACGAGTTAGATTCAAGGGTATAACATTAAAAAAAACTATTTTGATTCAGTCGATTACTTTAAAAAAAAAAGAAATTGTATATGTTTTGTTATTTTTCTGCAGTTTTCTAGCAAAAACGATGGGAAACTCTGCATGGCCCAAAATTCCAGAAACTGCATTCCGTAGAAATAAGAACTCTTAGAAATTTCATTCTCAACTGATAAGAGAATGCTGGTGAGAAAGTGAGATAAATGTGGCAAAATGTATATAGATAAGCATTTTTTAAAAAAACATGGCAGTTTTATTTTCAAAAACCTAATGATGTATTATTAATTACTGACAGTACCTTGTTAGTCATACATTTCTACGTAGGTATAGGTAAGTTCTAATAACGTATGTTTTAAGACAAACCATAAAATTATTTAAACGGCACACTGTTATGAGATATATTATACGTATTATGAAAAACACAAAGTATATAAATGCAATATGTTAGTAGTGAATTTTTGACAAAAAAAATAGTGATTTTTAACATACCTAACTTTTTTTTTACATTATCTTATTTGGCGATTAAAAAAGGATAGAATATTCATTCTAGCATTTTCATTGTACTTTTTCCACACGCTTATACAAAGTGACTTGTTAAAGTTGGACAGCCTATTGAAAATTGAGTAAGCAATAATACCCTGGCAAAAATGTCACCTTAGAGTAATTTGAGGATGTTCTTTGTCATGTAATTAATAATAATAATGTGGGCATCCCAGTTAAAAAAATAAAAAAATAATTTTCACGAATATTGACCAAATAGTGAATTGGTTATGTTTTTCGTGTTTTTCGTTGAATTTTACCGTGGGATACACTTTATTATAACTATAAAAGTGAATTTGCTTTTGTAAGGAATTAAATTGAAAAATCCATAATGCCCCAAAGATTGAGTCATAATGACAGACCAGCTGCAGTCGTACCATAACCAAATCATCGATCAATAAGGTAAACCGTACCTACGCCGTATTTCGTCATGCTTGGTAATACGGCAGTAGTGCCGTCTGATAGGGTGCAGTTGTTTACATTTACAAGTTTTAGAGTTCATCTTAAAGCAAAATGTAATGAAAATAATTTCCTAAAGTTTTTCGTATAATAAATAATACTTAAGCAGCGCTGAGGGCCGACATTTTAAGAGGCTCCAATAGCTGCTACATAAATGAAAGACTATGCCAAAGTATCCCCTATTATTAATAATTCTANGATAATAATAATAATAGTAATAATAAAAGCCATTGGCATAATTCTAGTGAAGGTAATATTAAAGCAAAAATGTACTGTAATGATATTTTTTTAACCAATGCAATAACACTTTTTGTCCTTATTTTTAATTAAAATCTATCCATGTATTTCGCAGGGTAGGTGTTCCGTTCAGGGGTGGGTTCAAAACCTTCGACTTCCCACTCCCATGTCCACGCCTCTCTTTACACTTCGACTCCCGGTTTTTCATGGCCATGTTGGCTTTTTTTTGTAAATAACTGGTATTGTCAACATACTATTTTGTTTCGTTTTTCATAATTTTAACAAAATTAATTTTCATTATCGTTCATTTTTAGCATTTTTTATTCTTTGTTAAAGCGTGCAAACGCCGCACCAGACAGATTCAAGATGCACTAATTTTTTTTTTTTTTGCAAAAAAGTCGGCACGTGTGAAATCGCGTACGAGTATACCAAAATCAACAAATATTCAATATGACTTATGTATTCTAGACCTAACGATTAAATTACAACTTAATCAACTACAATGCTTGATTATTGTCGGATGATGGTTACTTAAAGTTTGTAGCGTATAATTTTTCAAAGTCATGATAGCCAGATAGTGGTAAAAACCACGAACCTATTGACCATTTCTACCCGACTTAATTGATTGCTTAACTTAATCGTATTAGCCACACGAGCAAAAAGTTCACTCTTTATATTTTAACTCAGACATAATCTGACCACTGTTAGTATCTTGACTCATCCATTATTAGACAACTTCTTGTATATTGACTCGGCCAAGATTTGACCACTGTTCATATCTTGGCTCGGCCACGATTTTATCTCTTTTTTTATTTAGCACACCATACATTTCACCATCGATCGTCTCTTGGCTTGTCAAAGATTTGACCTCTGTTCGTATCTTGGCTCGGCCGAAAATTTTATATGTGTTAGAATTGAATTTGTTTGGTACATTAAAGATTATATCATCGATCTTATCTTGGCTCTGCCAAGATTTGGCCACTGTTTGTATCTTGGCTCAGCTGTACAATGACCATTGTTCGTATTTTGGCTCGGCCAAGGTTTTAGTGCTTTTAATACTTTTGCTAGTCCAAGATTAGACCACTGCCCATATTTCTACTTAGCCATGATTGACACAGTTTTTATTTTGGCTAACCTGAAATTTTACCATTGTTTGTATTTTGGCTCGGCCAAGATTTAACCACTGTTTGTGTCTTGGCTCAGCCACGATTTTATCTCTGTTTATATTTGGCACACCAAAAATTCTACCATCGATCTTATCTTGGATTTGACTAATGTTTGTATATTGGCTCGGTCATACTATAACCATTGTTCATATAACGGCTTGGCCAAGCTTTCACTTCTTATAATACTTTTCTTTAACCAAGATTAAACCACTGCCCGTCTTTTAACTGGGCCATGATTTTACCACAGTTAAAAAAAATTTTTACCATTGTTTGTATCTTGGCTCGGTTA